GCCCACAGTTTGTAAAACTTGTATTGCTTCAGCTGGATCAAAAACATTTAATGCCAATATTAAATATTCGAAATTAGTATATTTTAAGTGTTTTAGATGACAAACATTATTTTTTGTTAACACAACAACTTACTTTTATGAGATGGAAGTTATTATAAGAAGATATCTACCTTATATTAAGAATAAAAATTATAATTTAATAACAGTTTTAACAGAAAAGATGGCTAACATACGTTGTGATACGCTGGGAACTTGTTGTAATTTGTTCAATAAAATAATGAAACGCTTTATTAGTTTTCGCATAAAAATTGATTGCAAGAAAGGGCGATTAAAAAATAAAATTTTCAGTAGTAAAACTATGGCGATGCATTCTACTATTAAATAACATTATATTATTTTGTATTGCATTTTTATGTAAATAAAACTGTTAAAATCAAATTTGTTTTCTTATTTTAATCAATTCTTCTATTCTTACTAGTTGAATAATACCGCGCATCCAATATAATTTCCGAATACCTTATTGGTTCCGCCATATTTTGTCGACACCAATAGAATACAAGACAAGACTGTCCAGACTCTTACTATAGGGTCTCTACAATGCTGTAGTTCCTTACGTCATCTTACGTGATAACCTTACATTACGTAAGACGTGAGCTGAACGTACGGCAACGCACGAAAACGTTACGTTACGTTACGAAAGAATATACAGGGTGTTGAAAAAAAGGGTCACATATTTTGATAGCAGGTAGTATTGATCAAAACAAGAAGAAAAGGTCTAATTAACATGGGTCCTAAGACTAATATCTTCTAAGATACAAGCTATTTTGTTATTTGAGCTCTATTTTCTTATTAGTCATGTCATCTTTAGAATTTAATGAACAAAAGAGTAGGGGAGAGTGAGGTACAATGGGGATATCTTTTTTCTAGGTACCTTAAAAAATAAAAAATTAAACACTCTTTTGTTTACTAGGGCTGCTCACATTCGTTAAGGCCTACGCAATGTCGTTTGACTTGTAGTATCTATTGCGAACTAAACGTAAATATCAGGAGAGAGAAATGAAGTGAGAGTGCGTGATTTAAAAGAGTGCGTGATTCTCTAAGACGTAGGGCTGAAACATACGTGGGAGTGAATGGCAATCACATAGAGCACCTCCTCTAATGCTGAGTCAGCATTAAAATTTTTTGTTTTTTTGTAAAAAAAGAGTTTTTATTTTGTTATACATTCAGTTTCTTTACTTCAGTTTTTTTATGGAAGATAAATGATTACATTTCATATTAAAATAAAAATTGTTTCTTTATCTCTCTTTGTTAATTTTTTATTTTTTAAGGCACTTAGAAAAAAGATATCCCCATTGCTCCTCACTCTCCCCTACTCTTTTGTTCATTAAATTCTAAAGATGACACGACTAATAAGAAAATGACAAAGAGCTCAAATAACAAAATAGCTTGTATCTTAGAAGATATTAGTCTTATGACTCATGTTAATTAGAACTTTTCTTCTTGTTTTGATCAATACTACCTGCTATCAAAATATATGACCCTTTTTTTCAACATCCTGTATATATTCTTTCGTAACGTAACGTAACATTTTCGTGCGTTGCCGTACGTTCAGCTTACGTCTCACGTAACGTAAAATTGTCACGTAAGGTGGCGTGAGGAACTACGGCAATGTTCGTGCGCTGGCCCTTATACGTCTGGACATACGTAACGCGGCAGCAACCGGTGGCAGGTTCGGGTGGTGGCGAAACGTACCGCCCGAAATATCCGTATTTGGCCAAAAAGGCCACTCTAAAAATTTTCGTGCGCCCTCCCAAAGTATTGTGGGGGACGTACGCCGAGGGCCGACATAGACCAGCAGCGTATCGTACGTGTGGTGTAGCATGTCGGCACAGTGCAACTGCATAACGTCCACGTGCTGGTGGTCCATGTCGGCAGAGTTGCGCAGGTATCGCTCTGCGCGATCTTTGCGCATACGTCCGCCATGCGTGCATTGATATACACGCATGATGGACATTAGGCATAATGTAGCTAGACATCTTCCCCTCATGAGGATGATAATTTGGCGCGCAAAGACGGGGAAATCGTCGGCGTAAACGTGATATTCCCACGACGTGCGCCCACCCGCCATTCATCGACGTGGTGCAGTGGATGGGCATGCGTTGGAAGGACACGTATTATTAATCGCTTGATGAATGAGCGTGAAGCCTGTTGTGCTTGCACGTCGCTGGCCGGCTACCGGTGCCGGCATTTGGAAGAGCACGTACAGTGCTCTATAGTCGATCTCGCCGAGATGAAATTCGTACCATAATTTGGTTGTACGTCGTTCTCACCGAGATCGACCAGCGATTGTCGTGGCAGATTGAATGCCCCTCTTTGCTCCAGATAACAGCAATTTGTTCTGCAAACATTTTGTTACTTGATGGCCGGTCTTGATGGAGGCGAACGCTCGGCAGTGGAAGGGTTCCAGTGTTCGACTGCACAGCAGTACGGAGTCGATGTCGGACGCAATGTTGAGACGGGACATGCCCGCCCGCGTCAGCGTCGTGCGAAGCAGGGCGCCAATCTCCTCCTCCTCCAAGTCCTCATATTGCTCCTCCTCCTCTTCGTGCACCACTTCCTCGTTCTCCATCTCCTCCCCCTCAAGTCGCAACTCCATATCCACCTCGTCCTTCTCTTGCTCCTCAAGCCGCAACTGCATATCCACCTCCTCTTCTACTTCCTCTCGTACCTCCTGTAGCGACACCACATGTATCTCCTCGCTTTTCTCTCCCTTCTCTTCTCATTCCTCTCCTATCTGTAGCGGCGCGTCGTCCTGCGCCGCATGGGTGCCATTTCCGAAAAATCTTCCTAGTGCAATGGGGTCATTTGAAGGTACTGGGAAGGTACAGGGAGCGACTCGTGCACGAGTTTTCCCTTCCGCTCCTCAGCGCTCGCTTCGGAATTTCTCTCAAAAATATACACAAGTCTGTGGTTTGTGTGATGTCGTTGAAAAAAGCCATATTTGTAAAGTTTTATGAAAACTGGTTCGGCCATCCACCGCATGGCAGTTCCACCGCGGTGGCATCCTTTCCCCGGTTGAAAGAAACCCGAATTAAACTATGCGGAAGCCGAGATGCGGCTTATCAGGGGGCCAACCCTATCCGCACAGAAAGAGCCTGTATTCTGAGTTGTCCTGTAATGATAAATGAGACTCTGACAGTGACTCATAAGCTATCATGAGAGCTTACGAGCCATTGTCAGAGGTTCATTTATCGCTAAAGAGAACTCAGGACACAGAAAATTTTGAGATATTAATTAAAATAGTTGAGCATATCAGAGCGCGTGACGCGGCACGCGGGACATACGGTTCGCCGCGGCCGGCGAAGAGAATGGACGAGCGCACACGTACACGGACGCATACACGGAGCTACCCATTTCAATATGTCAAACGGCCCACCTCTTTTGCCTATAAGATAGGCTTACGAGCAATTATCCATTTTCTCCACCGGTCGCGGCGAGTCGTATGTCCCGCCTGCTGTGTCGCCGCGCTCAAATTAGCCCAACTATTTTAATTAATATCTCGAAATTTTACGTGGTTATTTGAAAAATAACTTCTACAATATTTGTTCACTTTTACCTGTTCTACATATTTTTTTTCTTGGACGTTTTATGCGGGACACCCTGTATATGCGTACGTGCATGCGTGCGTGCGTGCGTGCGTGTGTGTGTATTTATTGTGTAATGTATATCCAATTCATATACACGAAATATACAGAGTAGTCCATTTAAATGCGAACATATTTGTTACCTTCTAAACCGTTAAAGATATTGAAATGCGGTTTTTAATCCTATAAATTTGCCAAATTGCAGTTTTTTGTAGAATTTTTATTTGCAGAGGTACTAACTCTAACTTAGATTTTTAAATCTATATAAATCTATAAAATAAATCTATATCTTTTTCTATACAATATATCAAAATGATTGTACTTTCACAGCACAGAACATTGTAGTAAGGTTATGGGTAGGTTACAAGCTTATCCATTTTAATGAGCATATTACTGCAATCTGCCATTAACCTTATAAGATAACCTTACATTATAATATTGTCATGAAGTTAATATAATATTTAATATATCAGCAAACTTAATGTAATTACTCCACTTTCTGTGTATCTTAAAAATATTACACAATTTAAATATAGTTTATTAATAATTACTTAATTATATATACAAATTTTTTTTATTAAGAAAGCAAATATAACTAAATTAAATTAAAATATTAATAATAAAATTAACTCTAGGTTGTATTCAATAGCCGCTTCAAATACTTTAGTTTTATGTATATCTCTGAGTTTTCTTTTATTATATGAAATATTTGGACTACATAGTTTATTTTTGTAGTTGTATTAAATAATATTATAAGAAAATTATAATTACTGTTTCGGCTGCATATGGGGATAATAAAAAACCGCCTTAGGTATTTATAGTCGAATCTTATTTCAAGACCGTCTTAAGTAATGTCTTAAGATGCGAATATTCTGTGATTGATTCATGACATCTTAAGACAGTACTTAAGATAATCTTAAACATAAGATCGGACTATGAATACCGGCCTTAGTATCAGTTGAAGAAATAGCGGACTAGGAACTTAGAAGTATCTGAGGTCTCGAGTTCGCGTCCGACTAGTATTTGAAAGATTACGAATAGGAGCGCCGCGTGGTGACGCCAGCAGCCGGGAGCGGTAGCGCCCTTCGACTATCGATTACGCGAGCAACCGATATCGATAGTATCGTGGAGAGCGCGCGCAAGTTCGATAGCACAAAGGGCGCAGGATCGGAAACGAGACCGATTCGGGAAACATCGAGAAGCTTCTAGAGATCCAGAAGAAGAAGCTAAAAAGCGATTCGAGACGAGAGAAAGACACACTCTCACGGGCGCGGGGAAATCGAGAAATCGATTGAGAGAGTCGTCGAAAAGTCGATTAAGAGTCGGAAGAGTCGTTAGATAATAGGCGGTATTTCGGTACGAAGTCATAGTATAAATCGCGAGAAACGCTTTATATATTTGTAGAACAGAATAAACGCTTGGTGATTTGTCCAGAGACATTGGAATTATCTCTTTATTAATGTTCCCAGAAAGTCCTTAGTCCAGCAGTTCGAATCGTTGAAGGTCATCGGGACGATTAGGGATATTTACAACGAAGAGAGGAAATCGGGTAGAAATTTAAGAAAGAGAATTAGTCTAGTTAAAACGAAGGAATTTATCTTTCAACATCAGAAGTGGGATCAGGACTTCGTGCGTTTCGGATAGTGTCGAGTCAAGAAGTGTACTAGGACGGGTGTCGTAAGTTCGGTCGCGTCGGGCCATGCCGAAGACACGTGCCATGTTGAGTCGTGAGGAATTAGATAAGGCCTCTTTAGAAAATCTGCAAAAAGAAGCGCGTCGGTTACAATTGACGGTGTCGAATAATAGAGAAGCAGTAATGGATGCTATTCTTACGTACCAAGAGAGAACGGAGCGTACGAGTCCGTTGACGGAGATGCCGGGAACGGCTGCTGAAGTTGGCTTGTCGGGAGCGCCGACTAGGGCTAAAGAGCAGGATTCAGAGCCGTTGACTGCGGCTACGTTTCGTCAGGCGCTGACGGAGATCTCCACGACGCTGGCGCGCCAAAATCAAGAGATTATGCTACAACAGCAACATTTTATGTTACAATTAATGCAACAAGTCACTAAGAATAGTGGAGTTGAGACGAGCCTCCAGATTCAGACGGCGGGCAATATAGACCCACCGGAGGAATCGTCGAGAACATGTTCGGGCACATCGTCATCGAGCACAGTGCCAGAACAGCGTGGGCCATCTCCGAGGGAAGTGCGGATAGGCCAGTTGAGTGAAGTAGGCGGGATGTCGTCGGGTAGTGCAATTCAGTGGCTTGCCTCTCAGATTCCAGAGTTCGGCGGAGCAGAAGACGAAAACGTGGTCGTATGGGTCCGGAGAGTAGACAGGGTCGCGCTTATACACGGCGCCTCGGACGGGATGACCTTGTTAGCTGCATCTAGTAAGTTGATCAAGGATGCAAAACAATGGTATGGGATTCAGTCAGGTTCTATGAATCGTGGCGTGATCTGCGCCGAGAATTGATTAAAATTTTCGAAAGAAAAGTACCGTTTTATAAGGCGATGCAGAAAATAGAGGCACGCAAGTGGAACTCACAAAGAGAATCATTTGATCAATATGCTATTGCAAAGATGACAGCGATAAGTAATTTAGATTTACCTGTGAAAGATGCTATCCATCTGCTGATTGGCGGAATATCACAACCGGCGTTAAGGGCGATTGCCCTTACAGTGGCGAATGATACGGTGGACGGTTTCTTAGCCAGGATGAGAAGCATCACTGAGGGCTGTGCCGACATCGATCAAAGACCAGTATCTGTGAAAAATCAAGGAAAAGTGCGCGATAACGGTTGTCGAAATTGTGGGGACCGTGCACATTCCCACCGTGAATGCAGAAAGGAGCCCACCTGTTTCTACTGCAAGATGAGAGGGCACAGGCAATTCGATTGTCCGGCCCTTAAGAACCGGAGCAATGGGAGGGCAACTTCGTCGCCTCGACCTGTGGCCTCTCAGGTAGCAGCGCTTGTACGCGGAGAGTCAACGTCGGAGGATACGGTAGCCGTCGTCGCCGAGGAGGACAGTCCGAGGTTGGAGCTTACGAGACCGTTTGTGGAAGTGTCTGCCATCTGTAAGAGAGAATGTAATATTTTAGCATTAATAGATACGGGTAGCCCGGTGTCGTTCGTAAAGCGTAGTGTTTATGAGAGCCAAATAAAACCGTATAAAGGCGAGTTAAAGTCCTCTAATAAGAGATTAATTAATTTGAGTCAGGAGCTGTTAAATGTAATCGGAGTCGTTTCAGTCGAGTTAGTTGTAAAACAATTGCCAAGTAAGATATTTGCAGTTCGTTTATACGTACTTGATGAACCGTTCGACGGAGAGTTAATCCTCGGGCGTGAATTTATTAAAGAGCAGCGGCTCATCGTGGTGTACAGGTATTGTGAGCCGTCAGACGAATCTGATCAGTGCAGCGTGAATCTATTCGAGTATCTACCACTCAATGTCACGGAGGACGCGGTAGAGAATTTGCAACAAATATTGTCTGAACAATCGGCGGATTTCGGATTTGAGGCGAAGAACAAGTTGATAGATCTAGTCTTAGAGATAGAAAAAGAAAAGATTGAAACGATAGATGACGGATATGTAGTTCGAGTGCATCTAAAGGATGAGTCGGTTTATGCTTATGCGCCTCGACGTTTCGCGTATATGGAACGCCTACAAATTCGAGATATTGTCGATGATTTGTTAAAGAGAGGAATTATTCGGCCGAGTATTTCGCCGTATTGCGCTAGAGTGATCCCGGTGAGAAAGAGAAGCGGTCAAATTAGACTTTGCGTAGACCTAAGACCATTGAACAGTCGAGTGATCAAGCAGAGATATCCGTTTCCAATCATCGAAGACTGCTTGTCGCGTTTATCAAATAAATCGGTGTTCACTCTGTTAGATCTTAAAGATGGTTTTCACCAGATTAAGGTGCACGAAGAGTCGATGCAATATTTTTCGTTTGCGACTCCAGACGGACAATATGAATACACGCAACTACCGTTCGGATACTCAGAAGTGCCGGCTGAATTTCAAAAACGGGTGATACAAATTTTAGAGCCACTCATTCGAGCCGATAAAATATTAATTTATATAGACGACGTTTTAATCCGTCTGAAACTGTTGAAGCGAATTTAGAAACTCTTAGCGAAGTATTGCGTACGTTAAAAAAATATAATTTCGAAGTGAATTACAAGAAATGCCAATTTTTGAAAAGAGAAGTAGAATTTTTGGGGTATGTAATTTCGGCAAATGTGATAACTTTGAGTCTGCGACATACGGAGGCAATCGAGAATTTTAAAAGACCTTCGAATATTCACGAGGTGCAACACTTCCTGGGGTTAGCTAGTTATTTTCGCAAATTCATAGAACATTTTGCTTTGAAAGCAAAACCTTTGCAAAACCTATTGAGAAAAGAAACTAAATTTAATTTTAATGAAAATTGTATCGAGTCGTTTAAATTGTTAAAAAAGGAGCTTACCTCCTCGCCGGTTCTTGCTTTATATGACCCTACCGCTGACACGGAGCTGCATACGGATGCGAGCAGCTTGGGTCTTGGGGCAATCTTACTACAAAAACAGAAGGGTGGTGCGTGGCGCCCTGTGGCTTATTTTAGTCAAACAACCAATAAAGCGGAATGTAATTATCACAGCTTCGAACTGGAAATGCTAGCGATTGTACGAGCGATAGAGCGATTTCACGTTTATTTTGCCGGTATATTCTTCGAGGTAGTAACCGATTGCAACGCGTTAGTGTACGCGGTTAACAAAGCGAACCTGAATCCGCGTGTCGCGAGGTGGACGCTCACCTTACAAAGTTATCACTTCAAGGTAACTCACCGTTCAGGTAATAGGATGGCGCATGTAGATGCGCTCAGTAGAGTTGCGAGTTATGTCAATGAGCTGCCGTTGGAACGAGAGTTGGAATTCCGACAGCTCACGGACACTGCCATCCAAAGAATTAGTCGAAAACTAGAATCTAGAGACAGTGAGAAATTTTCATTAATAAACGGATTAGTTTATCGCAAATGTGCAAATAATGAAAAGAAATTTGTAATACCCGAGTCAATGGAAACGAATGTGATCCGCGCTCATCACGATGAAATGGCGCACTGCGGGTCGGAAAAAACTTTTCAAGGCGTCAGTCAGAATTTTTGGTTCCCTCACATGCGTAGAAAAATATCCGAATATATAAAGAATTGTCTCACTTGTCTTATGGCAGATGAAGGAGTTAATAGGTTCGAAAAGGAAACGAGTCTTTATCTCTCATCGACCGTGCCGATGGAAGTTATCCATCTCGATCATTTCGGTCCGTTGCCGAACGCGGAGGATGGCTATAAACACGTGTTAGTGATTGTCGATGCCTTTACGAGGTTTGCGTGGTTGCGCCCGACCAGGTCAACGACTTCGCGTGAAGTCATTACTCATCTGATGGGTATTTTCGCGACATTTGGTAAACCGTTAGAAATCGTGTCGGATAGAGGAACAGCATTTTCCTCGAAAGAATTTACTGCCTTTCTCAGTAACAATAAAGTTAAACAACGAATGGTAGCTTAGGGCGGTAGCAGCCCCATGGGCTAACGGAATGGTCGAACGCGTCAACCTCTTTTTAAAATCATCTATGATTAAATGTATGGATGGAGCGAACGAATGGAAAAGTAAACTCGATTTAATCCAATACGTAATAAATAATACATACCATTCGGTGACAAAAGCCAGTCCGTCGAAATTGCTCCTCGGTTTTGAACAGCGGAACCACTCAGACCGGAAACTAGCTGATTTTGTAAAGGCGCTAGCAGAAATCGACAGTGATCTTGAAAAAGAACGGGAAACCGCTAGAGAAACGGCACGTAGGGCGACTGAGATGTTGCGCGTATATAATAAAAAATACAATGACACAAGACACAGAAAAGTATCGCGATATAAAGAGGGAGATTATGTCGTGATTAGGAACACGCGGTTGAAACCCGGTGAAAGCGCTAAATTAAAACCGAGTTATTTAGGGCCTTACATAGTTAAGAAGGCACTGGGAAACAATCGTTATGTGATTTGCGACATACCAGGGTTTAACATAACACAAAAGCCGCTTGACACAATCCTTTCGTGCGACCGGCTCAAGCTATGGAACCAATAGAGAAAAAAAAATCCGGTATGAAACACATCACATAATACGCGTAGATTTAACAAATGAGGTGATGGGTAGATGTAAGAGCGTTAGTTATAAGTATAATTACCTGTAAGTGCGCGCGGTGACAGACGACTGACGATCTCTCAAAGGAGTAACTGGGAAAAAACAAAGAAAGAGATATCACTCCGGAAATGCTGATTGCTATAACTTCGAGACGAAGTTAGGTCAGGAGGGCCGAGCTGAAAGATTACGAATAGGAGCGCCGCGTGGTGGCGCCAGCAGCCGGGAGCGGTAGCGCCCTTCTATCGATTACGCGAGCAACCGATATCGATAGTATCGTGGAGAGTGCGCGCAAGTTCGATAGCACAAAGGGCGCAGGATCGGAAACGAGACCGATTCGGGAAACATCGAGAAGCTTCTAGAGATCCGGAAGAAGAAGCTAAAAAGCGATTCGAGACGAGAGAAAGACACACTCTCATGGGCGCGGGGAAATCGAGAAGTCGATTGAGAGAGTCGTCGAAAAGTCGATTAAGAGTCGGAAGAGTCGTTAGATAATAGGCGGTATTTCGGTACGAAGTCATAGTATAAATCGCGAGAAACGCTTTATATATTTGTAGAACAGAATAAACGCTTGGTGATTTGTCCAGAGACATTGGAATTATCTCTTTATTAATGTTCCCAGAAAGTCCTTAGTCCGGCAGTTCGAATCGTTGAAGGTCGTTGGGACGGTTAGGGATATTTACAACGAAGAGAGGAAATCGGGTAGAAATTTAAGAAAGAGAATTAGTCTAGTTAAAACGAAGGAATTTATCTTTCATATTGAATAAATTTTCAGATGTGAAAATAATGAGAAATTAAATAAAAGAGCTAAATTTTATTTAAAATCAATATAAATTGACTAAGATGAATATAAATAATATTTCTTTATTAAGAATCTCTTATTAAAAATATTGAAAGATTCTAGGCATATTATATTAACTTTAATATAATGTTCCGTATAAGGTTTCTATAATGTTAATGGAATGAGCATGGACGAATATTTTCATCTTATTAGAAGGTTAGTGACAGGTGAGTGGGTTTCGATTGACCACGGTACGATTGGACATAGATTGTAATAATTGGTTCGACTTAGTAATTCACTAGATAATTCTTATCATCGATTGGTTATGTCCAATCATACCGTGGTCAATCGGAACGCTCCCGTGACAGGTTTATTAACCTTCGTGTAATGTTACCATCTTACAATTTAAGGTTGTTGTAACCTCATGGCAATATTAATGTGCTGTGAGGATAAGATAAATTCAATGATATAAGATTTATTACATTTGAATAAATAATTGTCGCAAAACCAACTTTTGTCCAACTTTGATGTATTGTATAGAAAAAAAACATATCTCATTTAATAAATCAACGTTGGAGTTAAAATCTCTGCAAATAAAAATTCTACAAAAACTAATTCGGCAAATTAGTAGCTTCTTCGTCTAGTTTATTTCATCGTCAATGTAAATCCCAATATTTCTCAATATCTTTCAAGATCTTTAACAGTTCAAGAGATAATAGATGTTTTAACACTTAAGGGGATGTGTGTGCTGGAGTCGATGACGAATTTGAACAATGTCGATAATGCAGAGACAATCATCACTAAGATAATCACGCTATTCTTTTCGTATTTCTTGTATATACAGAACTTACATGAATGTGTGTTGCTTTGTTTTACCATGTTCAACGGAAAAGCTAACCATATATGTGTAAACATCTTTCTGCAAACTTTTTCGATATTCTCAAGTATTCTGTCGGTAAAGTTTTCAGCTTCAGCATCTCCTTAAGGGGATGCTGGACATGAAAACTTTACCGACGCAACACTGACTTTTTTCTGCAAAGTTTACGTATTGCTGCTTGCACAGAATTATAAACGCTTTTGCACAACAAAAGTACATGCAGAAATAAATTGGAACATTGCTTAATATGTGACGAAAATAAAAAAATATTTTTAATATAAAATTTTGAGCTGTATTTAGCGCAATATTTGTTTAATACAAAAATTCCGCAGATTGCATATAGCGAAACTGTGGATGCTCTAATAAAAAAAAATTTCAACGATCATTATTATATTTTCAGAATTTAGTTTAGATGCCAAACAAGATACGAAAAGTTTGCAGAAAAATTTTAGACAATATGCGGTTAGATATTCCAACAAATATGATAAAGTAGAGCAGAAAATTAGTTCAAAGTTTCCATTGGAAGCTGTAGTTTCTTCGCATATTTCACAACGTCAGAATATTCAGCTTATGTATATATTGTATGTATTATGTATGTATATATTGTGTATATATATATATGTATATTCTTTCGTCAGCGCGCCCATGCAACTGTTTATCGCAATGTCGCGGCACAATATACATATACATGTAAATATATATATCTGAGTAGAATTCTAAGCAAAATTATATTTCTGCAAAGATTATGTTACACTGAATTAAAAATCCTTTTAGATGGTGAAAGTACGTGCAAAAATAAAGCGGAGCATTCCTCAATATGAGACAAAAACGATAAAATACAGTTACAATCATGATACCGAATACTATTGCAAAGATTACTTCCTTCTACCTGTGCCAAATTAAAAACCCTTTTGCATAGTAAAAGTACGTGCGAAAATAAAGCGAAGCATTGCCCAATATGAGACGAAAACGATAAGGAACAATTACTATCATGACATCGAATTCTTCAGCAAAGATTACTTCTTTCTACTTGCGCTGAATTAAAAACCTTTTTGCATGGTAAAAGTACGTGCGAAAATGAAGCAGAGCGTTCTTCAATACGAGATGAAAATGATAAGAAAAAATCTATTTGAAATTTTTAAACATATTTGTAATATGTATATAAGTATTTATAAGTAACGAAGACGATCGTCAAAATGTTACATTTGATAATCGTCAATATGTCACGCTACCATTGCCTCGCAGTATTTTTTCATATATCATCGAAATAGGCTTTCGCCGCTTTTTTGATGAATTCTTGAAACCGCTTGTAAATCAAAGAAAGAGTTTTTTAGAGAAGTGTGTTGTATGCATAAGTGTAGTTTATGAATATTGTTTTGAAGAATATGTTATCTAATATTTGAGCTTTCTATATTGCAATGGAAATATGAAACATCATTTTCGTTTCGCTCTGAGCAATGTTTCACTATTATTATATATTTTCGCACATATTTTTATCATATAAATTGGAGCAGTAATTGCGCTGTAATTTTTACAAAAGGAAATCAGTGTCGCGATGGCAATAGTTCCACATCGTTTTCATCCCCGAGTGAAGAATGCTATATTTCATTTTTGCACGTACTTTTACTATGCAAAAGAGCTTTTAATTCGATGCAGGTAGAAAGAAGTAATCTTTGCAGAAGGATTCGGTATCATGACAGTAGCTGTTCCTTATGGTTTTCGTTTCTTATTGAGGAATGCACCGCTTTATTTTCGCATGCATTTTCACCATGCAAAAGGATTTTTGATTTGGTACAATCAGCACCACGAAAGTTTTGCAAAGGGAGTCGGTGTCATGTCAAGGACATTTTTCTACAAATATTACTTTGCATTGACTTAACCGAATTAGAAATGCATTTGTATGGTGAAAGTACATGCGAAAATGAAATACAGCATTCCTCAATCAGAGATGAAAATGATGTGGAACTATTGTTATTGTGACACTGATTTTTTTTTGCAAAAATTACAGCGCACTTACTACTCCAATTTATATGGTAAAATTACGCGCGAAAATATAGTGAAACATTGCTCAATGCGTAACAAAAATAATATCTCAAATTTCCATTTAAAATAATAAAGCTCACATATTAGATAACATTTTTTTCAAAACAATGTTCGTAAATTATACGTACAACACACTTCTCAAAAAAACTCTTTCTTTGATTCACCTAATAGACAAGCGGTTTCAAGAATTCATCAGAAAAACGGCGAAAGCCTATTTCGGAGAGAATGTGTATATCGGCATTCACATTTACATATCGTTTATGTGCAA